CTGTAGGCCCTTGTTTTCAGGCTTTTAGGCTGAAAACGACCCAGGGCCTGAAAATGGCCCATGCAGCCTGTTGCAGGCGCAGCATGTAACAAGAAGGGAGATTTAATCTTCTTCTTCTTCTTCTTCTTCTTCTTCCTTTTTTTAATAAGAAAACACCCGTCTGCAGTGGGTGCTCGTATCAGAAGGGAGATTTAATCTGTCGGCGTTGGAATGAGAAGAGGTGGAGACATTTCCAAACGTCTTCCGGACGGCGTAGATTCCACTCCTCGGTCAGGATGTGCTCAGCCAGTTGTACCCAGTGAGGAGCGGGGGAGATCAGCCCAGCTTTTGGGAGCCAACTTGAAGTGCATAACATTGCTGCAGTTTGTCTGAGGGGGGGTCAAGCATACCAAGGCCACCCTCGTCACGTGGGAAACGCAGAATCTCCCACGCGACTTTGGAGATGAAGGAAACACCGTCCTCTGAAAACAGTTTCCAAATGAACTTTGCCGCCCTGTGTTTGATTAGAGAGAGTACGTCAAAATTTAATTCCCAATGCCGCGAACCCTCCCCACAAACCATTGAAGAGCAAAGAGTGCACTATTAAACCACCAGTACTTGGCCCAGCTATCGGCCCCGGAAAAAAAATAGAGTAGAAACGTTTCTAGTTGGATGAATTTGGACGCTCCTGTAGTGGCCCGTACGTTTCCGAAAATAGTGGCGCGTTAACGGGCACGACTTTAGGAAGTACTGGTGGTTTAACTACCAGCGCTCGTCCAAATATTAAGGACAGATGTGGTGCTCTGGCCCAAGAGGTTAACCGTTGGAAAACGTTTTGGGTCAGCCTGAGGATGCTTTCCTGAGAAGCCGAGCATTTCCTTAGAGGGCTATTTGGACCCCAAGGAAGCGTTCTGATTCATCATCTTTGATCTGCTTCGTCCCCAATGATTCCATTCCGCACAGCCGAGCCCGGTTCCCGGCTTGTATATCTAATAAAGACAAGACTTTTTCTTTTAAAAAAAAATTAAAAAAACACGGATTTATGCGAGTTGATGGCTCCTTGGATAAGCTCGCGTATTGAATTTCATCAAGGCAAGATTTGATGACCGCCAATGATTCAGGAGAGTGTTGAGTCGCAGCAAAGAGATCATCTGCCAGGGCTTTCGCCTCGAGCGGAGGAGGACCTATGGTGTTTTTTTTTTGTTTTTTTTTTTAAGAAATCGTACCCTCTTGACCAGAAAAGGTCCGTTCTTTTTTCTTTTTTTTTTTTTGGACCATTTCTCGATTTATGTGTGTCATCCTTGAAAGCGCAGGGGCCATGCTAATCTTCTTTCTTTGTATCGTTCCAATTTTAATTTTTAACAGATGGGAAGCAACAGCCCGGGGTCTTTTTTGAAGTTTTTCCCCTTTTTTTTTCTTCTTCTTCTTCTTCTTCTTCTTCTCTCTCTTTTTTTTTTTTTTTTTTTTTTTTTTTTTTTTTTTTTTTTTTTTTTTTTTTTTTTTTTTTTTTTTTTTTTTTTTTTTTTTTTACTCGTGTAAAGGGGTGTCAGCCTCGAGGTACCTTCACTGAATTTTGATGGCCCCCAGGTAATTCAGAGTTGTTTAATCAGTCGGACTTATTATTTTCATCTACAATTATTTTGTTCGTCTGATTCCATCAGGATTCGAACTCAGGACCTTATTCAACACAGGGGCTGGGTGCCCCCTTTTTTGTCCCTCACAGCCATGTCCATGAAACCAAAATAGAACAGATTCACTCACGCTCCTCGTTCTGGCTGGATTGACTGGCTACCCCCCCCCCCCTCCGCAACCCCCCC